CTGTAAAAATTACAATCCAAATATATATATATATATATATATATCTGTGTGCGTGTATGAATTTAAAAACATATGACTTATTCATTTGTTTTTAAGTGACTTAAGATGTATGAGACGCATAGAATCCGTAGATAATTTACTCTAAAAATAAAGTATCTAATTTGAACAAACTTCTCCAATGGAAAGAAAAATTTAGAGAGATTTTGCAAAGCTTCCTAAATGTTAGCAATATTTGAGTTTCTCAGCATATGCGTGATAATTTCCCTACAAAGTACAATGTTGCTAAGGTATAGAAAATCAGATTAGCATTACGGTTAACGCTTAACAAACTGTATGCAAAATCTTTACATTATGTCATTACTCAGTAGTAAAATTTTAATCTCACTGTTATGTGTTTGTAGCTTTTGATATAACACTAAATTATATTTTTTTTAGAGTGGAAAACATCCTTTGATAAACACACTTTTAGAGTTTTCTGAGATTTCTCAACAGTTAGGGGTAGAAACTGTTCTTATTGAACCTTCACTTCTGTTTTGTATTTTATCACCCTCACTTCAGAGTCTTCTTTTGAGAAGGAATTTCACTCTATCAAATGAATCATCTGAGCATGTATTGACAATGGGAATTTTTCAGAAGGATGCTGTTATTCTAGAAAAGGTCAGGTACGAATTATAAAGTATTTTTAATACTTATATTTCAAGATATTTCTCAAATGTTTGATAGATGAACTATTTCTTATTTGTATTGTAATCAAACCATAAGAAAGTTGCGGGCAGCTAACTCCAGAAATGGTGAAAGTGCTTTACACTAATAATGAAGTAGTGATACACCAGAGACAATTCTTGGGGTAAACAAATACTACTTACTAATAACTACTTACTAAGTTACTAAGAATTATTCCAGTTATCTACGAATGCTCCTTTACACTACTTTTGGTGTGAAATAGTTGCCACCTATTTTGCTCTTAAGCGACACTAGAAATTGAACAATATGATATAATACACATAAGAGTCAGTAAAGTTATTTTTTGATATAAGTTAAAGTAAGAGCAGTTAGTTTAGGATACATACATAAACTATTTTTAAAATAAAAGGAGATTGTAAATAAAATATAGCAACAACATTGTAAGGAAAACAGCAAGAAAAAAATATTTAGATGAATTTGAATTAGGTTTAACAGAATAAAATCGGATGAAATCAACAAATATTTAAAAACTAAAACATAATTATCCATAATACATCATTGATAACATACATACATTGTGTAGCTGAGAATGTAGATGTATAGCAGCGTGCAAGACAACAATAAACTAAACAATAATCGTCTTTATTAGTTAATTAAAAACATATATATATTTTGTAATGAAGAATGTAGATGTGAATCAGTGTGCGATGCAACAGCAAATTCACGGCATCTCGCTCGGTATTAATAAACATTTATAGTACTTTTTGAAGCTGACACACGTTTTCTCAAAATTTTTATGATGAAATTTTTCGATGCAAACTTTTAGAAACGTCATACGTCCCTAAAATAGAGCCCCTGAATTAGCGTAGTATACCCAAAAGCCATTAGCATACCATTAGTATGCCATTAGTATACCATAGTACACCATTAGCATAGTAGTCTTACCCAAAAATAGCTACAGATTTGAGAAATCAATTAAAAAGAAATAGAATGAAATTAAAATGCCTGGTATGATGAGGTGTTCTTAGAAAATCTACGATTTATTCCAATTTTTAAAATGAGTTAGGGAGTCCGTCTGCAAATGGTTGTTGTTGACGTATGCATGTTTAGGCAGAAGGGGTGCGATTGTTCTTGTCTTCCAGTGGCGCCATCTATGGTCAAGAATTCGACTTTTGCCACACAATTTGTCACACCCGTTTATAGGCCGGACCCATTCATACATTCATTCATTCATCCACAGATCGTAATTTTGACCTGAATCAGCGAACGATCGATCTTCTATCCAGTACCCCCAGAGATATTGACTTGTCATGGGAACATGGAGGACTTTTGCGACTCTACAGATTTGACGTGCATCAATCACTTTACTACACGGGGAGTCTTCAGCCGGCGGGGTTCGAACCCACGAACTCTCGGACATGGAGCCAGCGCCCTACCGACCAATCTATCCCGGCCCTATGGCGCTGTTAAATAAGGAAAGTTACAGAACGACGATGTTAGCATCAATAGCTTGGCACATTCAGATGACAAATTTAACATGACGCCAGTGAAAATATTTCTATTATGCAGTAGTAAAACATTGTTCTAGACAAAATTATTGTAGAAACTCGGGTAAAATCGACATTAGAGACACAAAAAAGTTATGTCGACATAAATAAAGGATAATAAATGCTCACTGTTTCCTTGGTCAAACAATTACTCTTTATGTACCAAAAGAAAATAATACTTTTTATGTACTCAAATAACAAAATAAATTTTGCTTTTAGAAAGCTGTGCAAAATCAATTAGCGGAAATTGGGTTTCACATAGAAATTGTTGAATCTCCAATTTTAAGCTGGATGAAACTTCAGGGATTTCTAAACAGCAGTATGTTCACGAGTCACGTCTTCTTACAGAAAGATAAGTGGGTTTTACACTTGGTTGTGTTCCATAAAAGAGAGAGCTTCTTATGGCATGCTGCTTTGTCACCCCAAGCCGATTTTAGAACGCCAACCGAAGAAACTCTTTTATTCGTGGAGGCTGATGCTGCATTTGAAAAGTAAGTAATTTAATAAATATTCTGTAATTACAGCCCCTAGTAATTATCCCCATTCCTCGTACTGGTAAAAACGCAAATAATAAATAAATCGGTAATTGCAGACACTACTAAACCATGTATAAAACTAAAGGATTTATACTGATACAATCAATAAAGCCATAACAACTTTATTATATTTTTATTTATTATTATTTGTTGACTTTCCCGCTGACCTTACATTACATGGTTTTACTTTATTTTATAATCGTCGTTGAACAGGCGACCCAATTTTAGGTTTACGGCTATTAATGTCCAACTCCATAGTCTTGTAATTTTGAAAACAATCCAGAAGACAAAGAAACTCTTGGATCAGTACCGCCAGAGGTAAGATTTGTTATGGGAACTTGGAGGACTTTGAGACTCGACAGATTTAACGTGCATCAGTCACCATTTACTACACGGGGAATCTTCGGCCGCTGAGGATAGAACCCATGACCTCTGGGACATGGGCCCAGTGGCCTACCTACCAGGCTATCCTGTCCTTACGTTACAAGATTTTTATTTTATTTTATAACCGTCGTTGAACAGCCGACCCAATTTTAATGGGTTTACGACTACTAATGTTCAACTCCGTAGCCTAGTAATTTTGAAAACAATCCAGAAGACAAAGAAACTCTTGGATCAGTACCCCCAGAGGTATTGATTTGTTATGGGAACTTGGAGGACTTTGAGACTCGAGAGATTTAACGTGCATCAGTCATCATTTACTACACGGGGAGTCTTCGGCCGGCGAGGATCGAACCCATGACCTCTTGGACATGGGCCCAGCGCCCTACCGACCAGGCTATCCCGGCCCGCTACGTTACAAGATTAATCAAAACACGCTTTAAAAGTTCAACTCATCAAAATAAAAGCGAATTGCTCTCATTCTTACTTGGCATCGCGCTCTTGCTCCTGGCCAATTTATGATAGTCAAAATTTACCATGATCAGAAATTTCTTTTTAATTAGTTTTGGTTTTTAGTGAATAATTTATCTTTTTTACTTACCGTTGATATTATATTACTTAGTTTTGCTGAAATATGTCTCAAAAGCATTACTATAAATAAAATAAATAAGTGGTTTCAAACATCTTTAGAAATACCAATTAGGATTGCAACTCTCATATTTAGCCCATGAGGTTACCTGTTGCAAAGAATAAATAATTAATTATTAAAAGCGTACAGTTAATTTCGATTTTTATTAGGTAACCGAGAGCTGTGAACTGGCAATAATCATAATAGTTATCGTTTATATGTTTGAAAAAAAGTCATTTAGTGTTTGCTTTATATATGTTTAGCGTTAAATCTAAGAATCATTTTAACCCTTTTTAATTTAAACCTTTTTTTCAAAAGTCATTTACAAAGGGGGTAATTAAAATTTTTTTAAATAATTTTTTTAATCCGGGGACTAAAATGGTCGTTGTACCCGTTTTCCGAATAAGAGACAAGCCCAATCGGTTTTGGAATTATAAGTGAGACTTCCACTCCCACAGCGAAAATACACTAACTCTTTCTACTTTTATTATTTAATGTTTATCACTAAACAAGCTAACTAGGAATTAAAATAATTAAAAACTACTTTATTTGATGGATGAAGATGAAAGGCAATTATTTTTCACTTCTACCCAAAAAATTTCTAACAAAGTTGATCTTTTTTTTTTCAAATAAAATATGTTTTTATTTTTATTTGGAAGCAGCGCGCCCACGAATAATCAAAGGTTATAAACATAAAAATTAATACATTTGAAACAACTCATTTTTACAAATGAAGATATTGTTTGAATAGTGGTCTGACTCTTCGTGCAAGTTTGTTCTATCTTACTTTAAGTTAAGTACACATCACCAGCTTATTCCTGCTGCCAGACAGAGAACGCAACAAATCAGACAAGATGGCAAAAACTCATCTGATATAGTTCCTCCAAATCTAAATGAACAAAAATTGATGATGAAAATCAAATGATGAACAAAAGTATGATACTTTAAATACCGTTTTTATATTTCACTGCATTTTGTAACAAAGCCTGTTGCAGTAGTGAAAAAATTTAAAAAAGTGTACCTCTATATAAAAATGTAATAGTTATGGCATAAAAACATGATGATACAAAGTCCAATTTAATTGCTTTCAGGCGCATTTGTATTGGCCAAAAAATAACAAGGCATGGTTCTTTAATATATCAAAGAAGGTTCAAATTTTCTTAGTTGAAATCTATATAAAATTAATAAACGTTACAAAAATATAATTTTTTTACCCGTAAAATGTTTCTTGATCTCTGATCTAACGATATTTGTCTGTAATATTTATTTATACATTTTTTTGCATTATTCTTTGGTATTGATTTTAATTTTAATTTCAAATTAAGAGGGACAAGCAAAATGATTAGGTTTAAATTTTATCCCAATTGAATCGCTAACTAAATCTGCGATATCAAATTTATTTCCCCGTTAAGCGTTAGCGTTTTGTGGGCCCTAAAAGGAATCCAGTTGACTCTGTTTTATTAAAATGTTTTTATTTTTATTTAAAAAAAGACTGTTAACATTAAATAAAGTGTTTTTTTGCAATATTTTCACAAAGCACTTGAAGGAATTTTCTTTTTGTTTTTTAAACTGCGTATTATTTTTAATCATAAAAAATTACACTAAAATTATATTTGTAAATTTTATGCTATAATTTTAAAAGTTATGCTCTTTATGTTATAAAATCTTCGTGAACTTTGCTCAAGATGGTCTTTCATTAGTAAGGCTCTGTATATAAGTTGGGCATTTATGTCCAAAGCACTAATAGTTCTCGACACTTAAGTATTGAATGCACTTAGATTTGTAAAACTTGTGAGATTTGTATTGTATCTTTTTATAGCTTATAGTGGCAGTTAAGGAAAAAAACGTTCTTATTCAGGTACTTCTTGAAAATATTGGAAAAGAACTTTATTATTTGTTAACGTTTTTTTTTTTGCTTAAAATTTCATTATATTCAAACGGGAATTTTTTGAGAAGTTTCCTAACACAGTTTTAAAATTTTTTCCATCAGAAGAGCAAGATGAAGTTAATAAAAGCCTACTTCCAGCTAAATTTTTACTGCATTTGAAATAAAAACAGCACAATTGTTTCTCATTAATTATAAGACAGTTTGTAGTTTTCGCCAAAATTCCATGAATTGTTTTAAGTTGCAATTAAGAAATATGTACAGTTAACGATTACGATCATAACATTATGATTTTGAGAGAAGCGTCTTTATCTTCCCGAAGATACATCCTAGGTTTACGGTTATACTAGGTTTACGGTTAGGTTATTTTAGATTCTCTCCCATAGTGTTTTTGACTTATTGTTCTTGGCATAATTTTTCTTAACAAATGTTAGTTCTGTTCATTATTAAAACCAAATTAAATATTTTGAATTTAGCTTCACTGCCGTTTCACTTGGTTTTAAAGTTCCACATTTGAAGAACGTAAACATTCCAACGAATCCAGCCACCTTCCTACATCAAATTGAAACATCAAGGTTTCTGGAATGCAATGAAACAATAGTTAATTCATACGGGAAACAGCCCATTTCTGCTCATCCGAGTCAGCATCAGTATCCTAACTTTTCACCGCATGAATTTAACCAACGCCTCATAATTGCTATCGAAGAGTTGAAGATAAATCTCGATCCATTGCTCATTCGGTTTTGGTTATTTTCAGGTACTTTATTGGGTAAGAAAAACTATTTTAGACTCTGTAATTTGTATTGTCCTATTTAATCATTGTTATGCCGACCGGCCTGTGTAGGGTGCAGGGAAATGTCCTTTCATCAGAAAGGTTCTGGGTTAGAATCCCGGGCAAGGCATGGATGTTTCTTTCTCTCTCTCTGTGTTCTATGTCCTTTCTCCTTTGTGCGTGAATGTGACCTGCCCTATAAACGGGTTGTGTGAATGGCGTGGCTGAAGTCGAATTCCTGGCCATAGATGGCGCCACTGAAAAACAGGAACAATCGCGCCCCACTGCCCAAAACAGGTATACGACAAAAAAGAAAAAAAAATATTGTTATTTTTCTGTAAAATATGTACTGTTTGTCTACGATAGGTACTCTGTCCGCCACAAAGTCTGCGGCAGTCTGGTGCTATGGAAACAAGAAGAGAGCATTTTAGGGAGGGTGGCTTCGATGAAGAGGTCTCCTTTTCTTTCGCCTTCGATGATAGCTTGTATGGGGAGTATACCAGATTGGCTGACTCAGCCACCAGTAGGAGACTTATTTAATCTGATTCAAGAACTTTTTTAAGATTCGCATGAATATTTCTTTCTTACTTAAAATAATTCTCTCGATTCAATCAGTTGTTATTTTTTAAATACAAAGGAAAAAAAGTGAACAAATTCTGACATTAAGGGTAGTACAGGTTTTTTTAATATTACTTTTTAATTTTACGATATTTATTATGAATGTTCATTGATTGTTAGATGGTTTAATTTCTAAACTTGCACATTTTTTAAAGCAGTTAATTTCTTTTATTACTTGAATTTTCTGGAAAAAGTGAAGAGCTTAAACTTAATAACTCTGATTTTAAAAGGAGATAAAACTTTTGCTGAAAATAAAAATAGTTCACGTTATCTGTGCCGGAGAAATATTAAATATCTTTGTTTTGATTATTAATTTTTAAATATTTTATTTATTTATTTATTTTTTTTTTTTTTTGAAACTGAAAGCAAGTGACCGCAACTAGGATGAAATCTAAAACTATCAACGATGATTTTTATCAGCACCCATCAAACCATCTGAAATTATCTGAAGTTTTTTTTGCTTAAATTACGTTTTCTTATTCATATTTTATTGTAACCTGTACAGTTTTTTTTCACTATTTATTAAAAACAGTTTTTATTAGCAAATTTATTTTTTTCTTAATAACCAATTTACTATGTATGATAAATTTATAGATGAGTTATTTATTAATAAAACATTGAGCTGCTTTAAACAATTTTATACAATTTCCATACATATTCCATACATACATATAAATTTTTTAAATTTTTTTTCTAAAACAGAAGCTTTTGAAAAAGAGAAAAGATAAAAAAAAAGGAATCACACGCTCTAAACGATGTTTCAGGCGCGAATGCTCATTTCTCTTAACTCTAGGGCTAATACAATAGATCGAACAAAGAAGTCTCCTTTTCTCCCACCGAAACCAGTTTTAAAGGGGGACCCCGCACCCCTACTTGAAATAATCATACCTCGTTACGCCACCCCTCCAGACGAATGGCGGACAGAGTACCTATCGTAGACAAACAGTAATGCGTAATTCAAATTCATCTAACTCATGTAATTATAAAAATATGCATATGTCTGTTGAAGCGCATCCTAACAAGTGTAATAGAGAGTTAATTTAATACTTTTTTAATGAAACAGCTTGTAAACGTTTACGTTACATTTTTAATACGTTTACGTTACGGTTTTAAACTGTTTACGTTACGTATTTAATGCGTTTTTAATGAAACAGCGTGTAAACGCTTACGTTATGTTTTTAATACGCTTACGTTACGTTTTTAAAACGTTTACGTTACGTATTTAATGCGTTTTTAATGAAATACAATAAATAGGGATATGAAAAAATTTCACCTGCTGTAATTCTTAATGGAAATTATATGTAAAAAAAGGTATGCTGCTTGTTAACGGACATGGAAAAAAATAAGACTTTATTTACACAGGGGTAGCAATAAAAGTGAAAAAGATTCATGAAGAAAAAAAATTTGAAAACATTTCTGTAGTCTATGACAATGGCATTTCTTGGAAAAAAACAAGCATAGTAATAAAAACCAAACTATATGGTATTTAAGCCATTCATTTAATATTTTTCCGTCAATATCATAACGGTTTACCAGAAAACTTGATTTTCAAAATTATACTTCTTATTACGACACATTTAGTAAAAAATTCTAAACTGAAAAGCAAATTTAACCAAAAAAATGGTTTTTATGCCATGTTCTAAGGTATCACGGTATAATTATCAAATTTTACCATATATACCAAACTTTATCAGGTATTATAAAATCATATTTTATTGTTAATTTCACAAAAATTATAACTAAAGTGCTTCGGTAAAAATTACAAAGCTCTTTGGGGTTCCCATTGAACCAGGAACATGGTAAATTTTACCATATTTTGGCAGTCTTGACAATGATTTTTTTCTCTGTGTAGATATCATAGAAAACACGGAAAAATTTATTTATTTAAATTTATTTATAAAGCAATACGAAAAAGTTTTAAGTAGTTGATGAAAGATTCAAGGTCAAATAATATTCGAAAAAGTGTGCCAAGTCAAGTAATTTTTAAGCTTAACAACATGCCAGGGCTAACTGTATGAAACGAACCATCATAATGTTTTAACAGATTTTTAAATTAAAAATTTCTTAGGTAGGGAAATTGGTTGATTATTTCTGTACGAAAATATGCATTCACACATATTTGTAGTGTTTAGAAAAATAATGTAATAATTCATGTTTGAATCAGAATTGATTTGTTTTGAAAAATTAAAATTTTTGTGTCCTTCTGAACATGTTAATTTTTCCGAATGTGAATATTTACTGTGCCAGTCATAGTATAAAATAATAAAATATCTTGATCAAAAATAATTGAATTGATTCTAATATAAACCTTTGACTTATTATGTCTTTATTAATAACTAGAGATAGGTGAAAATGGGGTGCTATTATTCCAAATTTATAAATTTACAGATTTTCGCTCCTTTGCAACGTTGCTAACACGTTGTAGTTAAGAAGGAAAAATAATTTGCGTGTTCACAGTGTTATCTCAATGTTAATGTCAAATCTCGTGCTCCGTCATGTGTTCTGGTAAGGCTACGCCTTTATAGTTCTTAACTTATTTTATTTTTTTTCTCATTTCTAATTATTAAGTTAAATATAATTCTAAGATATTTTGAGTGCTGCGGGTTTTCTGGTGAGCTTAAGGAAAAAGTAAAATCAACAGTTTTTCACTTTTGACATTTTTACAACAAATTGATTGCTCCTCACATTGTTTCCTGACAAGCACTTTTTATTTTCGATCAAATAAGAGAACAAATATAATCGACTGTAAACAAAAGCTGATCCAGATTTTAAACAGACTTTTCAGGGGTGTAATGTTCATGCAAATTACAATTCATGCAAAAATTTAATTGTTTTCATGAGAATTATGCTTTTTTTTGACAAAAACAATCCTAAATTTGATGTGGCTTGTCACGAAATTGCTTCATGCCCTTAATATCTTTGAGAGCTGTATGTGATATAGATTAAATACTAAATCTAAAGCTAATCAAACAGCATTTATTTCGGTAAAATTAATATGCAAATTATTTTTTTTGTTGCAAAAATTTAAAATTCTTTTGTTAAACTTTACAATGATCAATAAACGTATTTGTAATGGAAATTAAATTTTAATTGATATATATTGTGCTTAGTATTTGATTAATTTGATCGAATCTGATATTCAGTATTAATGAAAACTGGATTTTTTTCTAGGTTGGCATCGCCAATGTGATGTTATACCCTACACATCGGATGCGGACTTTGCCACTTGGGCGATCTATGGTGAAGAAATAGATAAGTTGATGAATGATTTTAAGCAAAATGATCATTTGACTGCAATAGAGAAATTAGGCATAGTAGGAATATAATTTTTATTATTAACATTCACCTTCAGTCTCATTGGCGGTTACATTCTTAGTAAGAATGGGCACTGCAATTAGTTTAACCTAATTCACGTGTAAAATGTATCTTACAAATACAAAGTCGTTAAAATGAATAATCTCTGGTCGAATATTTTATCAACTTCAAATTAAAGAATATTAATATTTTATTCAAATTAATGAAAAATAAAACTTTTAAGAGTTTAATATAACTAAGGATTGAACGGGGAAAAGCTTAAGGAATCAAAAATTTAAAAACTTCAATATAATTGAATTTTGTTTGTAAAACTATTACTTTACTTACGAGTCTGTTAGTAACGTTACTTACGTTAAATTAACAGGAGAATGTGTGCAAGACTAGAAGTGCATAATAGTTCAGAAATGAGACAAAAGATTTCGCAGGTTTATCGTGCAACTTGAAAGTACTGAAATTGCCAACACGTTTCTGGTGACTTTTAGACAATTTTTTACCTTTTTAAATATTTTCTATCACTGTTATATTCTTAAGCAAGATTAAAAAATATTTAAAAAACAATAAAAACAATTGCTTATAATAAACATTACTTAAACAAACTGTTTATAATAAACATTACATGAGACACTTTGGCTGCCGTACCGCTTCACCCATATCCGGGTGACAGCTGAAGTTCTCCGGTTGTATTCGGGTGACGTCATAATTCCGCTACTTTGTAAGGATCTCCGTAAATATTTGGGCAGTTATTCCACAAGATGCAATGAAACAATTGAATTATTAAAAAAAGTATTCTATGAAGTGAAAGAACTAAAGCTAAGATTAGTAAGATTATTTTTGACCAAAAGTCGTTGTTTTCTTCGAATTCCAGCATACTTTTGATTGGTCCATTTCACAATTTTTATTTGGATACCACAGTTTGAATCTATTTCTAAATTTTTTTGTCTGTAGTGATATGATACTGCCTTTGTCGAACTTCATTACCTTTTTAAGCAGTAGTAATAATTTCGCAGCTATCAATTTTTCGAATCTTTTGACATTTACAGTTTCTATGTCGCAATTTTGCAACGCACCAAGGCATTTACAACTGAAATTCCCAGTAGAAGTCGAATGCCTAGTTATTGGTATTATTTTATTCTTTTTCTTGGGATAGGAAATCATTTGGTCTGAATACTCCATACCAAACATTCCCTTATTATATTCGAAACTGAACAGTTATGAGCCAGCAGTACATGTTTCGTAGTACATGTTCGTGGCCTGACGGAGTTTTAGATATAAACACGCATGATAATCTACGTGTTCAACAATAGACGAAAGACATCTGGATACAAACAATTTTAAAACTTGATTGAGAGTTACAAAAAAAAAAAGAGTGAAATGAGAAACATAGTAAGTACCAGAAGTCGGGATATTTAAATTTTTTTAGTTCCCCCAAATAATTTTCTCTTTTGGACTATATGCGTTTTCAATTTTTTAATTCTCAGTCATAAAGCAAAATAAACATTAATCATTACAAATACTTGCACTTTCAAACATACCCACACACGTGACCTATAACATCAGCTCCAGATAATTGTCAATAAACAAAATGGCGTGTTAAAGTTGAATTAAGTCTTTCCACATGACACGTGCTATATTTTTGTTTTGTTTACCTCACATCTTCAATGTATAATTAGTTTGCTTATGCTATACGTGGCTTCGTACCTATTTTTGTGTTAAGTAAGAAATATATGGTGAAAGAATCGATATCATCGTGAAAGAATCTTTGGAAAGGATTATGGAATGTATCACTTAAGAGAATTGATAATTGACGAGGTAAGTTAACTCGAAATAGAATGGAAAGAACAGTTGGTAGCGTAAACAAAGGCACGTTTTAACAACCAATCAAGCACGAGATACCCCCACTACGTCACTTGCAGGTATCCCATTCGATAGGGACGAAACAAAAATATTTACGTAGAAAAAATATGAAAAGCAAAAATAGTCCCTTAAAACTATTTGTAGATTACTTATGTTGGTTGACTGTTTAATAGTTAATCGAACATCTTTTATATTCTACAGTTATAATTTAAATTTCAACAATATTCTGTTCAGGAACAAAACCATGATTAGGAAAACTAAATGATCAATTAAATGGCCAGTATAGACAAAGAACCCATTGTTTTAGTGCTGTTAAAGTATTGTAACTGGATAAAAAATCGCCAATAATATTACAAAAAGGCAAAAGTATTACAAGTGAATCTATTACTAGAAAAGGTCTCTCTTGCAAATTTATACAACCACTTTAGGCACATTGTAACTATTGTCCAATAAATTTGCCATTGGAAATAAAATAAAAGAAACTTTACGTACATTGAAAACTATAATTTTAATGTATTGATAATGATATGATAGTGCAATCCTACACGGAGAAAAAAATTCTGGTGAGATTACCGTATTGTAGTATATTAATGATATTTATGAACATGGTTCTGGAGTATAAACATGGTACTGGTTCATTGGAAATTACAGTTGGCTTTCAAAATTATGGCTCTTATTACCACACATTTAATTAAAAAAAAAAAAACAAATTTGAAAAAGTAAATTCAAGCGAAAAAATGGTTTTTATGTCATGATTTAAGGTATCAAGATGAAATTATCTAGGACAGGGGTTTCCAACTTACATGAGGCCAAATTAAAATAAGAAGGAGATTTTTAAAAATATTTAATTACATATTAAGAAACTCGGTCTACAATAACCTTATTGTGCACCCATGTATTAAACAATTAATGTGCAACAGATATCTAATTGTTAAGATTTAAAACTTTAAAAAGGTTGGTATTAAAACTTACATAGTTGCACACAAAATGCACAAATGTCACCAGAGAATAGATGTTTACATTTTAAATTTGAAATTTACAAATGTGTGTGTAAATATTTTCGTCCAAAATGAGTGGTTTCAAAACGTTAAATCGGAGAATTTCTTCGAGAAAATTTCTAATTTATATTCACAAAATACAAAGAAATGAAGTAGAAAAGAGCAACATACACGATTATTTTTGTATTTTAGTAAATATTTTCTTGGCTGCAAAACCAAGCAAAATAATGCAAAATAATTTGGATGCAAAATACTTTTTTTTGCACCGTTGGTATGATAAATTTCATAGAAACGAAGAAACTAGGTTTTTATTAACGAGAAAAGTATATTAAGCCCATAAAGAATTTTTACGAAAATTGTCCGCAAAAAAATGTCATCTAATATATTTTACTTCGCTGGCCACAAAAAAAGGCTTCGCGGGCCGGATGCGGCCCCCTGGCCACCAGTTGGAAACCACTGATCTGGGATAAAATACAAAATTTTATCACCTATTTTTAAACTAAGATTTATTTTTAATTTTACCATAATTATTAACAAAGTTGAATTATTAACAATATTATTAATTTTACCACAATTATTAACACTTCTGCAAAATTTAACGAGTATGTTAGTGTTCATATACAGCCAGAAACTCGGTAAAATTTCCGCATTCTTGTAGTTTTGACAGTATATTTTTTCTCAGTGTGAAAAAGTAATTCTTTTTTGAACAACTGGAGATAATTTGATTTTGATTTTTACAAAGTATTTAATAGGTGTTCTCATTATTTAAGGTGTATAAAACTAGACCATTTAAGCTTGTGTTTATTATTTTTAAAATTGTATTGAATAAATTCGTCTTAGAAATACTGTTTTGGCCGATGGTTTTTAAAACCAAAATTAGCATTTTAATTAATAATTAAATTAAATAATAATTAAATTAATAATTAAATTAAATTAATAATTAATTACAATTAATAATGACAATTAATAATTAAATTAAATGTCACGTCACCATCCCTCCTTGATAACTATAAAATTTATTAAAAAGTGCAGCGATAATGTAAAAGACTTTAATCGTTAGGTCAGCTGATTTTAATTTTCAAAATTTCTTTTGGTCCCGAGTCAATACGTACAAGTCCTATGTTCAAAAAAAGTTTAAAAAAAAAATCAAAGGATTTGCTTTTAATTAAAAAATACAAATAAATTAAAATGAGTGATAATTACGCAATAACATTAGGATTAATTGTTAATGTATCTGTGAAAAAAAAGTATTTTGTTACAGTATGCTTTTTTTTAATATTTTCTCTTTTTTCAATTATTGAAATAGGATTAATATCGATTTATATAAATGTGAAGCATAAAATCGAAAACTGAATTCTACAAATTTTTGAAAGCCAGGATAGCCTTGTTGGTAGGTAGTTGAGTGCATGTTCAAGAGGTCGTGGGTGCTGACCGAAGACTCTGTGTAGTAAATGGTGACTGGTGCACGTTAAATCTGTCGGTCACAAAGTCCTCCATGTCTCCATAACAATTTACTCCTCTGGAGGTGCTGCATTGGAGATTGGTCGTACTGTGATTCAGCTCAAAATTATCTGTAAATTAATGAATGGATGTATGATTGGGTTCACCTCATAAACGGATTGTGAGGCGTGTGTGGCTTAAGTCGTATTCTTGACTATAAATGACGCCACTAAAAAAAAAAAAAAGAAACGTACCATTTGCCTTAAATTCGCTTGGTTTCACCAAGCAGGCTTGCTGATATTGGTAAGTCGCATTAAAAACAACAACACAACATCAAATTTTTGAAGCATATTATTCTTATTAAGTGAAATCTGTGGTATCATTTTAATCTTAATGTATTTCAGATTGACGTTGGATTGGAGTATAAATTTAGATGCCATGGACTAGGGGTTGATTTATTCTTCATTTATGAAGAGGAAAATGGTACATGGTGTGGAAGTCATGGCAGCAAAGAAAGTGGTTACTACATGAAGTCAGTATAATTTTCTTGCTATAACGTGTATTGCAATAATTAAACTCTGAAGAAGATTTTTTTAACAGTATCTTAAACTTAGAAAAACTGAAACGAACTAAATTGCATTTTTTTCAAATTTATATATTCTGCAAGGATACTACCGTTTGGTAAGCTCTGAGATTTTTCGTTCATGATTATCAGTTTTTAAGTACTCTACGACCTACATTTGGTTTTATTGATAATGAGTACAGTAGACAATAAAAGAAAACTACAAATGTTTGCGAACTTCAGATTAATTAGAATTTTTGTCCCGCAATGGACTGATTGTTAAGACACGGTTCCCAGCAGATCACCGAAGTCAAGCATCACTGGCTGCGGTCAGTGTGCGGGTGGGTGACCACTTGGTTCAGTCTGCGTAGGGACCGAGGGTGTGCGGTATGGGTCCTCGTTAAGCTGTTCTACCGTAAAGTGCTAGACTTCACGTGTAGGTCGACGGGTTACCGAAGCGGGGGTGCCATCCCCTCTGCAGAGGATCAAAATTGTGATGGCATGTCTTCGAATCATCCTCAGGGATGTTTCCCAGACCATCGCCAATAGCCCATTGTGCAGCTCTAGTGCGACGCAAATGAACTACAACAATTGATGATAATTTAATTTCCACTATATATCCGCGTCTATAATGTCATATTAATAATTACGCAATTTTTATGATTATAGATTCAGAATTATCGTTCATTTTCGTAAATGCAAATCTTTGAAATTAGAACACGTTTTTTAAATGGTTTACCTTCTTAATCTTAATTTAAATCTTATTTAGGTGTTATTTCATTGGTTGACGGGGCAAACATGTTAACTTTCTCTTCTGTGCTTAGTGATATTCTCTTTTTAAAACTTTTTTAAACCAAAATATTTAATATTTTCAGATACTATTATCCGGATTATAGTTTATGTTCTGCTGAGCTTTTGGGACAAAAAATAAACCTACCATGTGAACCAGAAAGCGTAATTTTAGCTGATTATGGTACGGATTGGATACAACCCGTTTCAAGTTGGAGTTATGAACGTTCACCAAAGAACAGAGGCCCAAATATTTTTTGGGAGAAGAGTTTGTTAAGCAAAGTATATAAACATTATTAAAAATGTGATTATTGATAGTGAGATGCTTATGTAATTTTGGACTATAGTAATTTATATTTTTTCTGAATTATTTTCTTTTAAAAAAGTAATAAAGATTTAAATTTTAATATTTGCTGCGAGTTGTTTTTAGGTATTCTTTATCTGGATATAAAATAACTTTTTCAGATTACTGCTTCGCATGGATGTTTTAAAGTTATTGAATAAGCACTGTTTGAGAAATTTGTGTCATGGGCTTGGGAAGTTATTTGAAAATAAACGTAATAAGACATGCGTAGTTAGAAAAAACTATGTCATCGCTGTGTGTTCTTATTTTGTAACATACATACTTTTATAACTTTATTTTTGAAACCAAAAATATATTGATTAATAATAAAAATATTATTCAAAATATCATGTAAGTTACAAAAATTCGAAAATTCATCAAAATCAATTATATTCCCTTCACCTCTTCCACTACCTCTTTTATTCCTATACATTGAATTAAAAACCCTAGGAAAATTAAAAACTTTAAATTTATCATAAATACAAAAATCTTCAATATTAATATTACCTTCCCCATTAAATTTACTATTTAATCCATATGGAAAAAAAATTTCAGGACTACTAATGTAAATGTTTTCTAAATCAAGCCTATTATCTAAATTTTTCATAAAATCTAAAATAAAGAGAATAACATTATCGAAATCATGAAACTAAAAATAATTTCAGAATCAGTAGAACTATTACTATTATTAAATTTTTTTATAGCAGATCTGTGGGAATTAATTCGTTTATGAAAGTCCAGAATTGTTTGACCAACATAACACAACTTACAGCAATTGCATTGAATTAAATAAATTAAATCAAGCCTTTTTTCAAATCTAAATAACTTAAACAATTCAAATTTTTTTTCTAAGATTGTTCAATCAATTAAGGAACGACAAATCAATTTCATAATTACCCTAATAGATAAAGTTAACAATAATTATGCAATCTTGTGTAATAAATTCTATGTTAAACTTTTAAATACGGAGTTAAAAAATACTGAAAATCTAAATCTCATTAATTTAAATAATAATATTGTCATTAAAAACATTTCAGCTTTATATAAGAGGTTTAAAATTAAAATTAGCAATATACAATTTCCTTATTAATTATTAGTCCTAAAATTCATAAAATTCCTATAAAATTTAGAAAAATCACATGTGGGTCTAATACTTACCTAACTAAACATGGCAACATAAAATTACTAAAAAAAGATGGTTTTTATTGGATTGTCACTAATAATCAACGAATTTTAGAATTTATTAAACATAATAAAATTAATTCTATTTCGACTTTTGAATTCCAGGATGTTTTCGAAAGCATTCCCCTTTGTAAATTAAAAGATGTCCTTTTGAATTATTACTATGATTTTAAAAATATCTGACTGGGAAATTTTAATTGATTTTTGTCTTTTTAAAAATTATCTTTACAACGGAAAAAACATTTTTCCTCAAATTGATGGAATACCAAGAGGATCTAATTTTTCTTCTGTCTTAGCTAACTCATTTTTGCACTGTTATGAAAAAACTATACTCTTAATATTAAATTTGCTTTTAGAATTATTAATGATTTAATTATCTTTAATTTTAAAGATTATACTCTTTCATTAAATAATATTTAAACCGAGGAATTAATCTTGCTTCGTAATCATGATAATAATATTAATTTTTTCGATTTGGGTATTACAGAAGAAGAAAATATCTGCTTTGTTCATTTATGCGATGAAAGAAATGATTTTAAATTTAATATAAATAAACTAATTATATGGTATTCTAATGTTTCTAAAAACATCTATTTAAATACCATTTTTAATCAAATGCAATGAATCAAATGTAATTAAAAGAATATGTAGAAATGTTTATTTATCCAAAAATCAAATAGAAAAACTCGTTCAAAATTTGATAAAAAAACAATGGTTGTCCAACTAAAGGATGGCTAATGGATGCCAACTAAATGGATGCTAACATAAAATCATTGATTTAATATTATGTAACTGTAAATAAATTTACTGAATACTCCTTCGTTCATTTATATAATTTTCACCATGTGCAAATCCATTTTGGGCAAATTCGTAGTTAAAATTATTTTAAAAACAGGCAATTCATCTTTCCTTCTCTCTCTCTCTCTCTCTCTCTCTCTCTTTTTGTAAAATTGTATAATTAACTATCAACCTTATTAATTGTAAACTTCTTTAAATATTTAAAGTATGATATTATGTTGCGCACACCAATTTCGGGCCCATCCTTGGTAACTAACAAATCAAATGCAAAAGAGAAATATGGATCTGAACGAAAAAGAGAAATATGGGTATATATTTATGTGTTATGTCTGATGCTCAACAATGATAACATTAGGACTAAAAAAGATGAAATCATCCTGAAGAATGTAATCGTAGCAAGTAATTTTAGTACTAGCTTAGCAAGTCATTTTGCTAAATTTTTTGAAATATTTCAATAATTTAACATTAATTTTACTCTGTAATGATCAAATTATAAAATATTTATTTCTGAAATAAGTAATGTTTTTTTCTGCAGGTATTTAATTTTGAATAATTTATAAGAACTATAGAAGAAATATAAAATACATGTCATTATTATTATTATTATTCTTTTTAATTGCAATTTAATTTTGCTTAATTTTTTGAAATATTTCATTAATTTAACATTAATTTAACTCTGTAATGATCAAATTATAAAATATTTATTTCAGAAATAAGTAATATCTTTTCCTGCAGTTATTTAATTTTGAATAATTTATAAAAACTACAGCAGAAATATAAAATACATGTCATCATTATTATTATTATTCCTTTTAATCGCAAAATTAGATTTTCGAATGAAGCTTTATTCGATCATTTTTCGTTTTATTGCCTTATCTGAAAAAAAAATGTCTTATAAAAATAGTTCAAAATTTAATTACAGCGTACGAAAACACACTTTGTTTTGTCGATTTTAAATTAGGTTGCTATTCTTTCCAACAGTAGAATTGAAAAAGGGGAAGTATCTATTGTTTTCGACACTTTATCTTCAGCTAATTTTTTCGTATGGCTTCAAAATAGACATTGTAATTACTCTGACGACTGTTTTGTTTAACATCGTTTCACCCCACCTAAAGAAAACAATTTCCCAAAGGAAGTTCATTTCGTAAAAAGACAAAGAGTTCACTGTGAGTTGCTGCGTTTTTAATGACTATTATATTTCATAAGGTACTATTAGTTTTGAACTAGTGTATAT